TTTATTTTTTCCCCCCAAAGCCCCAGTAGATAGTTGTGTGTCATAGCTGCACATCCTTCTAGTTGCTGTGTGTGGGACGCGGCCTCAGCATGGCCAGAGGAGCAGCGCGTCGGTGCAAGCCCGGGATCCGAACCCGGGTCGCCAGCAGTGGAGCGTGCTCACTTAACCACCAAGCCACGGGGCCGGCCCAAATAATATCTTTTTTAAGTAAAGGCAACCACTAGGTTTCCTTCAGGGCTCTCCAGGGTAAGAAAGGAGGCAGGACTAAGGGAGATGCCATCCAGGACCAGAGCTGGTGCGTTTGGCGAGAGGCAGACCTGGGCCTGCAGTGAGGGGAGGGGGCGAGCTGGCCCAGGAGCCACAGAGACCTGCCTCCTCCACTGCTGTCTTCTCACGGGGCCAGGCCCAGCAGCGCGCCACCAGAAAGCCTTGCTAGAAGGGGAGGATGAGGCAGGAGCTGGAGCCAGTTGCAGGAGAAAATACAGACAGCGCTGAGCCCTGGTGTGTCCAGAGGTGGAAAGGCTTTTCATCCATCCATCAAGTCAGTAAATATTTATTGAACCCCTACTACATACTGTGGCGATACAACTATGACCAAGATCAGCAATCTCTGGTTTCACAGCCTTGTAGGCGAGACAGACAAATACACAGGCCACTCCAATGCGGTGAGATTGGTGCCATGACGGTGGATGGTCAGAAGGCCATGGGAGCTCAGGTTCACGTCCCAGGGGAAGTGTGGTCTCAGCTAAGACCTGGAGGAGGAGGAGGAGTTAGCCAGTCAACTGTGGGGGCAACAGTGTCCTAGACAGAGGTGTGTGCAAAGGCTGGGGTGTGCTGAAGAAGGGAGAGCATGGGAAGAGCCAAGGTGGACAGGGCTGGGGAAAGGTCTTGCAGGTCAGGGTGAGAAGTTCAGAATTCACACAGGAGCCATGGAAAGCCGTTGGAGGGTTTTAAGTAGTGGATCCGCATGTTCTAGTTGGTTCTTGCTGGAGGAAGAACGAACAGAGAGAGATCAACCAGTCTACAGGCTATTGCAATAAGCCAGGTGAAATACAGGGCTGGCTTGAATGAATGGGCAGCACTGGAGGGGGAGGGAAGTGGATGGAGCTGAGATTTATGTGGAAATTGAGCCAACAGGCCTTGATTGTGGGTTTGTCAGGAGAGAGACAGGTAGGGTTCTAGAGATGATTCCTAGGTTTTTGTGTTGAGCAGAGCATCTGGAGGATCCATGAGACCATTTGCTGTGATGGAAAGAAGGAGCAAGTTTGGGATGGGAGAATCAAGAGCTCCATTGTGATCTATTGAGTTCGAGATGTTTTTGGAGATACAGAGACATGAAGCAGGAAGTTGGGTAGAGGAGTCTGGAGCTCAGAGAAGAGGGCTGGGCTGGAAATATACATTTGTGAGTCATCAGCATATAGTTGGTATTTAAAGCCATGAGACCAGATGAAATCACCTAAGGAGACAGTATAGATAGAAAAGAGAAGGTCGAAGGCTGAGCTGGTTAGAGGAGGAGCCCCCGAAATTGGTGAGCATGGCTCCCGTGCCTGGAGGCAGGGATGTGTGCCCTCTGCTGAGAGACAGACAGAATGAACAGAGAAGTAGCCACTAGATTTGGCGAGTTAAGAGGTCATTGGTGGACTTGGCGAAAGTGGCCTCAGTGGAGTGGAGGGGGGGGTGGAGACAGCAAGTGTAGACAGCCCCTTAGGGGTTGTCTGTCTGTACTCCACTGCTATGCATCCATGAATTCTCTCCCCTGTGATCATGCCCTGGCGATTTCTATCTAAGCCATATATGGAGCCCAGCACATAGCAGGAGCTCAAAACATTTATTTAATGATTGGATGAGTAAATAAATGGACAATTCACTTCTTATGTCAAAAGGGCATTCTCTGGTGCAGAGCGCAGCTATATTCTTTTGAAGCAACTGAGGAGACTGCAACATCTACTCCAAAGGCCAGAGGCTCTGGCCCGCTTCTCCCAGCTAAACCGAGGAGCAGCTGCATACAGACCTGAGGGGGAGCCCTGGCCCAGAGCCAGAACCAGGTGGAGTCCCTGCTGCCTCGCACAAGCCTGTGACTTTGGGTAAGTCACTTCTTCTTTCTTAGAAAGGGTCAGTGTACAGGATACAGGCCCACATGAGCCAGCCCCACGAGGCCCCACAGATGTTACTCTGCCTCCTCTGTCCCCTCCTTTTTCCTCTCTGGGCTTTTTTCTTGTTTATGGCTTAGAAGCTGACAGTGGCAGGTACCCCCCAGGGTTGCTGTGTGGAGAATGGGCTGGCAGCTCCTGAGAGCAGGAAAGATGAAGGGTGGGGATCCAGTGGAGGAGGGAGCCTCCAGCCATAGGACAGAGGACCTCACACATGGCACAGACACATGCCTGGCGTGGGGGATGTCATGGAACTGGGTCTGTCAGAGGCTGCTGAACAGGCATCTGTGTAGTAAAACGTAGGAGACCCTGAAGTGTCCTTGGGCTTGAAGTGGGGTGGGACACATCTGTGACAGACAGGCCTACCTGCCAATCAGAGGGGAGCTAACTCTTAGAAGCTGAGAGGGAGCCGCAGGAGTGAAAGTGGCTGCTGGGAAGTGACAAATAAGAGAAAATCGGGGACTAGAAAGAAGAAATGGCATGGCCCTTGGGGCAGCCCATCCAGAGAGGGGAGCCTGCTAAGGCTCTGTGCATGACCCAGAGACCTGCCTCGAGATGGGCCAGGGGACTTCTCTGCCATTCCCCCAGCAACACCCCACGCCTGCAACACCTGATGCAACCGGGGGGAAGAGGCCCGTGGAGGGCCTGGAGTCTGGGAGCGTGCTTTCCTGGGGTGGGAAGAGGGAAACAGGCAGGCAGGCATGGACGCTGCTGCCACCTAGTGGGGAAAGCCTGTTATTTCTCTTGGTTCCTAACCCTAGGGTCGTCCTCAGCTGAGCACTGAGATGGGGTTTTGGGGGATGGGGAAGAACCCTGTGCCCCTGAATTTGGGGACACAAGGCCAGGGTGAGCCTCAGGGAGGAAAACACACACCCCTGAGAAGTGTGCATTGCCCACATTACTTTGTCCCTCTGTGCCTTAGTTCTCTCTTCTATATAATGAGGGCAGTAGTACCTACCTCAGGGTTGTTGTGTAGGTTAGATGAGTCAACCCATGTAAAGTACTTGGCGTAGTAACAAGTGCTCAGTAAATTCTACCTGTGGTTGATCTGGAGGTTACCTGGAGGTGTTTAGCCTGCCCAACCCCAAACTGTGCCTGCTCTGCTATACAAATGCAGCTTTCCTTAGTCCAGCTTTCAGCAAAATTGTCCCACCAAGTCCCTCCTATTTCTAAGTTCTGGGGCTGCCACTGTTACCGTTTCATCATCAGTATCATCCCAAAGGATGAAGGCTCCATGGGTCCCAAACTCTCCTCTTCCACAACTCGGGGGCTTAGGGGAAGGGTCCAAGCTCCTAGCACCCTCTCTCTCCCCTCACCTCAGAGCTCATGATCAGAACAGCTCCAGGCTGTGACATCACAGAGCCCCCACCCCTGTCACAGGAGCAGAGGGGTCATGAGGCCATGGCAGTGGGTGTGGATGTGGCTGGTTGGGCTGGGAGCCACAGAAACAGGTGGGAAGCTTCCTCAGGAGGAAGGCTTGTGGGGAAAGGGTCAAGCTCCCTGAGGGGCTGGGAGGCCAAGCCTGGGCTTTTCTCTTTGCTCTCCACGCCTCTCTCCCATCCTTCCTGTCCAGAATGGGCCTTCCTGTGGAGAGCTCAGCTGATCCTTGAGAAGTTCCTGGAACAAAATCAAGCCCCTCCATAGCTACACTAAGGCTGTGTGGGTCTGCCTCAGCCTCTTGAGATGGGGGCAGGGGTCTGCTCGGCTCTTGTCAAAGACTTTGCTCTGGGTCCTCAGCACCCAGCCTGGAGAGTGCCGAGACCTTGGCCCCGGGAGCAGAGTCTCCGCTCTTCTTGGACAGACCTGACTTCTTTGATTACCCAGACTCGGACCAAGCCAGGCTCCTGGCACTGGCCCAGTTTATTGGAGAGAGACCTGTCATCTTTGATAATCCAGGTATGAACCAGCTTGAGAAGGGGTCTTCCTCCTTGCCAGGGCCTGGAGAAGAGCTGCCCTTGACCCTTCTGTTGGCAATGAGTCCAGGGTCCCTGTCTCCCCCTCCTTGTCTGGCAGGTTCCAAGTCTGGCTTCTTCCATCACATCCTGGTGGGCGCTCTGGTAGTGGCCTTCTTCTTCCTCCTTTTCCAGTTCTGCACACACATGTAAGGCCTGGCCCCCGCCCCTGGCCCCACCCATCTCAGCCTTCCTTGGGAGAGGCTGAAGGACCCAAAGGTGGCAGCATGTGACCTCCCACCTCTGATCTCCATACCCCACAGGAGCTGCCAGAAAGGGGCCTAAAGAGCTGGACAAGGGCCCTGCACTCTGCCCTGGGTGTCCAAACCTGCCCTCTTCTCCTGGTGATGAATAAAAGTCCTTGCTTTTTTCTTCCCTGACTCAGTGACCAGTCAGGGGGTCCTGCCCTATGGTCATCCGTGCTTTCTATTCCCAGCTGCCCCCTCCCCCCACTCCCTTCCCAGCCCCAAAGAACTGGGTGGAGAGGGCCTTGGTGCGGTCACGCAGATCGTCTTTATTAGCAGTCTGTAAAGCACCTCCCAGGGTCCCCCCAACCCCAGACTGGAGGAAGCCTTGAGAGATCTGTAGCACCAGGGACATGCCAGGGCCCGAGGGCAAGATGTGCAGCCTGATGGGGAAGGGATCAGCGCCCCTCACCTGCCCCCGGGGTTGCTCAGCACTGGGAAGGCTAGGGGGGAGCAGCCACCTCCCTCCCCCAGCCCCAACAAACTAGTTTGGATTTGGGTGAATAAATAAAATAAATAAGATTCCTCAGGCTGGCCTTCCTTGGAGAGGAGCTGTGGGGGCAACCAGCCCCTAGCGAGGCCCACGGGATTAGTTAGGGTGTCCCCTCCCTCCCAGATGACAGGGAGCTGAGAGGAGTTTGCAGCAGGGGGGCTGGGATGGCCTTGGCACCAGGGCCTCCCCCACATTCTTTGAGTCCCCATCAGTCTCCTCACAGCCCTCAAGCCCTAAGCGGATGGGAAGTGGTGCCCCTTCCTCTGTCCTTCGCCTCTCCAGGGCCCCAGGGTTGGTCTAGAAGAAGGGGGTATGGAGGAAGGGGTTTGCTACCCTCAGCTCAGGCACCTGTGGGGAGAAGAGGTCCCCTCTCCCTGCCTTCCATTTCACTCAGCCCCTGAGGGGAGATGTCCCCATCCTTTGAAGTCCATCTGTCAGTCCTGGGGCTGTCAGAGCAAGAGGCCCCTGGCTCCCCCCACCCACCCAGCAGCCCCAGGGCCCTGTCCCCACGGGGGTGGGGGTGGGTGGGGAGGGTTCCCTGGCCCCACTCTCAGTCCTGGGTCCGGCAGGGAGAGGGCGGCGGGGAGCCCCGGGGCCGGAAGAGGCGGCAGGCTCCGCGGCAGATGAGGAAGAACCAGTAGAGCTGGGGGGCGAGCAGCAGCGCGGCGCCCAGGTTGACGTGGGCCGGGATGGCGAGGGGCACTGCGAGCAGGGGCAGGCCCGCGTGCCGCCCGTAGGCCCAGTACAGGTAGGGGAAGAGCAGCACCCGGCAGCAGAGGAAGCTGAGCAGCATCAGAGCCCCGTTCACCTTGTGCAGCAGTGTGTGCTGCTGCTTGTACTGCGGGCGGGGGCGGGGCAGAGAGCGGGGGGCGGGGTGAGGGGCGCAGGGGCGTGTCCTCGCCCACGCCCCCGGCTCAGCCACCGGGCCCGCCTCCCCGCCCTGCCCACCTCTCTGCCTTCCCCCATCGCGACAGGGGCCAGGTTAAAGGCCCCAGGACCGGCCTCCTCCCACCCTGCCGCCTCTCCTCTACCCCGCCCAAAGCCCCTTCCAGACACGACACTTTGCCTGTCCGTTAAAGAATCCCTGAAGGTCCCTAAAAGTGCCTGCCCCACCCGTGTCCTCCCGTCAGGCGTCAGGCTCATATAGCCTCAGGTACCCTCTCACCTGGATGAGGATCTTGCCAAGGCAGACAAAGGGGGTGCTGACCTCTGCCATCAGCAAGCAGCCTAGAAAGAAATCTCCCTTGCCCTGACGCCACACCTGAGAAGAGAGAAAGAGAACAGCCTGGCCTCACCCTGGATTCCTGGGCAGCAACTGCCCTCCCTCTCTCCTCTCTGTCACTTTTGGAGATGCTTAACTCTGAAAGTCTGAACCCGCATACAGTAGCAAAGCTGGGAGCATTACCGCACCATATCCCTCCCACAAGCCTGCAGGTAAGACCGTATACCTTATATTACAAATGAGGAAACCGAGCCTCAGAGACGTCCGACAGCAGCTCCAAAGCACCACAGCTGGGCATGGTCCAGCCAGGCCAGGCTGACCCAGACCCTCTTGCTGTCTGGGGCTGGCCTGGTGCTCAGTAAATCCTCCCTGGGGACCCTGCATCCTGGGCCCGCCCTGCTGCTAAGACCTGGACCCAGGGCTCCCCAGGCTCCTGCAATGCTAGCAGGAGCAGGACATGGGGGCCCCGGCTCTCAGCACCCCAACTCACCACCGACAGCGGGAAGCACACGAGCACCATGACGGCGTGGTGGAGCACCATGAGGAACTCCTTGTGCAGGTAGCCGCGCGCCACAGCCCAGGTGCTGCCCGGGGCTCTGGCCCCCCCTTCATCCCCTCCGTGCCCCTTGACCTGGTGCTTGTGCCAGTGACAGAGGAACATGGCATAGATGTCGTAGATGAAGTAGGGCACTGCAAATTGCGTGTAGGCAGAGGAAAGCCAGTGTCTGTTGGGCAGAGAGAGAGAGAGGGGTCAAGGAGGAAGGGAGATGGACAGAGCAGCTGCCAGGTGCCGAGGTTGGTGTGAATGCGTCACGTGAGTCAGATCTCAAGTGATATTCACAACAACCCTGAGACGGAAGTGGACTCTCGAGTTACATGATGGCACCCAAGGGTAGAGGGCAAGAAACTTGCCCAAGGTCACATGGTCCCCCAGCTGGTAAGCAATAGTGCTGGGATTCAAACCCAGACTGTCTGCCCTCAGAACCACCCCATTTTTCATACTCATTCATTCAGATTCTCTCTCTGTCTGCAATATGGTGGGAGAAAAAAGAAGAGAGACCAAACCAGCCACAGCCCAGAGGGCAGAGGTGCAGAGAGAAAAGCACAGGTGAGATATAAGAGACAGCCAAGGTTAGGACAGATAGCAGTGGAAGAGGTGAGAGTGACAGCGAGGGATCATATCAGCTAACACTAAGCGACTACTCATTACGGGCAGGCACTATTCTCATATTCTAAATATTTTTTGCATAAACTTATTTACTCCCCACAAAAACCCCATAAAAAGTAGGTATGGTTGTCACGCCCATTTTACAGATGAGGAAACTGAGAGGCTAGGTAACCTGACCAAGGAATAAACATGAGAAGTTTGGCTCCCTAGCTACCACTCTTAGTCCCGCTGTCCCCTAGAACATTCAAGACAGGTGTCACAGACAGGCCCCGTCGGGGAGTTGGCAGTGCTGTCAGTGGTGCTTGTTCTGCCTGAATGTGGCCCAACCTCTTGTTTTTTCAGGTACAGCCAAGCATTAGGGAGAAAACGCTGAGCAAAAGGAGCCAAGGGCAGAGAAAGTTCTGTGCACTTGGAGAGTAAATGAAAATGAAAAATGCACGAATATGCAACATTGCATTTTTCTTCTTAAGTCAGCACATTGAGCACTTTCTCTTAAGTCCTGTAGTCCGGCGACAGGTCTGAGATGAGGGCGGGAGGTCAAAGAGGCAGGCCCAGGGGAGCTCACCCAGCTAGGTGGAGGGACAGAAGCAAAGTCAACCAGAAGCAACACACAAAAAGAGCTGAGAGAAAATATGAGGAGCTGCTGAAGGAAGAAGGGAGTGAGACCTGGTGGGAGGCCCACTAAGACCCAGGGCTGAGATGGAAGCAAAATGTGAGTTTGGGGGAGGCTGGCCTGGAGGGGGCCGGGCAGCCCACTCCAGCAGGGATGATTTCGGGAAAAGAGAAGCTGAGACCCATTTGGAGTGTGTGACCAGGACGGAGAGAGAGGAGAGGGAGCAGCCCCCCAGGTTAGAGGGCAGGAAAGCGGAAGGGGGTCCAACTGGCCCCAGAGAAGTTAGAGCAGGGAGTGGCCTGGAGAGCTGGCTGCAACAGACACACTGGGATCACTGGCTTGTGGGGGAACCAGGACCACCAGGCCCTGGGCTGCAACGTGAAAGGTTAAACCTATCTCACCCTCTCAGCAATTAGGTGCTCAGAAGCAGGAACAGCTGCTGCCCCTGGATTAACCCTGATCCTCCCCACCCACCTGAGGATTAAAGGAAGGAAGAACAAGAACAGACCTGGGGGAACAGAAATGTAAGAGCCGGAAGGTGACCTGTGTAAGAAGGCGAGAGGAGGAAACGTGTGGGGATCCAGGCTCATCCTAGACCCCGGGGTGGGAAGCGGGGAGAGGGCAGGAGGAAGCCAAGTCACTGGGCAGGGTCTGAAAAAAGAGCTAAGCGTCTACTATGTATGAGCCAGAACTGCCCTAGGCCGTTGACACACACAACTCAATTCCTCCTCACAGCGGCCCTTCCACGCAGGGATGGACCTCACTCCACAGATGAGGGAACTCATCTGCAGGGAAAGAGGGGGCACCTCCAGGTAAGGGTCATCCAGACAGTGTGCCTGGGGCTCAGCAGCTGCCAGAGAAGGGGAGCAGGGCCAGAAGTTAAGCACGGGGCGTCATCAGCACCCTCACAGGCAACACTGCAGCAGCCCATGGGTCACCTAGAGCTGGCCTGTCAGCACCACGGACAGGGCCCCTCTCCTTCCTCCTCCTGCCCCACCTCTCAGGCCTGGGCCTTTTTGGCAAGCAGCACACACTGCAGCGCTGCCAGTGCCAAATTTTGGCCTCTTCACCCCCCACCCCCCACTGCCTAACCATTAGTGGCCTTGTTTGTGTCATCTGTCTCCTCTCGTCTCCCTCTCGTGCACAGAGCTGGGGCTGGACACCTGGATTCTGGGAGGAGGTGAGGGGTGAGCCCATCATGAGGAGGGTGGCACCCCAGTTGGGCGCTGGTTGGAAATAGGGCCTGAGGGGTGTAAAGATGGGAGGAGGTAGAGGAGGAAACGAAAGTCAGAACCTACTATGATACCAGAGGCCGGGAAGTCTAGGAGCTGCTTTGAGAATCCTTTCTGATCCCCACTCCTTCTCCTCCTGGTTCTGACCTTTAAGGACAGGACGTGGATAAATTTATCTCCAGGTGTTGAGTTGCAGCCATGGCAGTTAACTTGCTCAGGCCCAAGTTAAGGGCTTGGGGACCACTGAGGGAGTCCCCTTGCAGGTCTGGGATACTCAGGGGGGGTCACACACACACACAGGTGCTGGAATGTGGGCAGAAGTGGTCTCACGGCACTTACTGGTCATCAATGATGTGCTTGCAGGAGGTGGAGACGATGTAGCCGGCTGTGGAGGCCATGACGGCTTGGACAGAGGACACCAGCCTAGGGAGGAAGGGGGAGCAATGGTAGAGGAGATGCGCCCTTGGTGTCCCCTCTTTACTGTCCAGTTCCTGTGCTTCAGACCCAGTCACTTCTAGGGCTGGTCCCCACCCATCTCTCCCCAAGGCTGCCTTGCCCAGGGCTCACCCCCCTCCTCAGGCCCCTGGGCTTGCCCAGCTGCAGCACCCTACTCCCCGCTGCCATCTCCCTTCCCTCAGTTATGGACACTGAGTCGCCTTCCTCTCAGGAGGACACCAGGGAGGTCATCTTGAGGTGAGACAAGGCTGAGAATGTGTGGCTGATAACCAGGCCCCTTCCTGGGGAGGGGCCGGGGGGGGGGACACACAGGATGGCAAGGGAAGCCCTGGGCCTATTCTCGCACCACTCAGATGCCCAGTCATCAACCGGCCCCTCCGTGACCCCACATTCCCTCTGACCACTTTCCCGCTCTCCCCTTGACTGCCACCATGCTCCCCTCCCCAACTCTGGCCCGTATTCCAGTGTTGTACAGAGTCCTACCGTTCACTCCTCTGTCCCTTGTCCCCCAAAACACATGCCCTGAACAATACACAGCTCTCTGCCTCATGCCTGTTCCCTAATATCTTATAAGAATGTTTGAGTCACATGCGGGCCCTGTTTTGGAGGGTGGGAGGGTGAATGAGGAAAGGAAAGAAAAGCAGGCTGAATACTAGTAACCAGATGGCTGGGTTTGGATGAGGTCTCCTGGGACAGGGAGTAAGGCAATAAGGAGGGAAGGAAGCTGGGAGGTAAAGCCCACTGGCCACTCCAGGAGCCCCCAGTCCCCACTGGGCCATGGGTCCAGAGAAGGGCTGGGGTCCCTTCCATCCCTATAAAGCCTGGGAAGGGGAGAGGGGCACAGGGGGAGGGCTGCAGTTTACCTGGCGGAGACAATGACCGCGTCGGCCTCCTCCCAGCGCAGCTGGGGCAGCCGCTGGAGTGTGTTCTTGGAGAGGAGGAAGAGTCCGGGGAAGACCACCCCCCCAGCCACCATTGGGGTCAGCATGGTGGCTCAGGCCTCGGGCAGGGAGACAAGCAGCCGTGAGGGGACAGGGAGGCCAAGCTGAAGGGAGTAGAGGTGGAGAAGGGACGCCAAGCCAGGGAAGGAGAGAGAAAAAGAGAAAGGGGTACAAAGGGGACAGGGCAGGACGGGAGGGGGCAGGGGAGTCAGACCAGAGGAAGGGAGAAAGGGAGTTAGATGAGACTGGGGAACGGGGAAGACCGGGGAGAGGGAGGATCCAAGAAACGGAGCAGGAGAAAGCCAGCCAGAGGGACGGGGAGAGGCAGGAGGGCGGACTTGGTGAGAGGACAGAGAGGGAGAGGGTACAGGAGGAGGAGGATGCAGATGGGGGAGGGGAGGGAGAGCCGAGGCAGGTGGGGAGGGGGGGCTTACGTGGAGAGGCTGGGTGGGCCCGAGAAGGCGGGGGGGGGAGTGGGGGGGGGGACTGTGGTGCCAGCCCTCGAAAGGGAGGAAGGGAGGGAGGGAGGGAAGGGAGACAGAGGAGCGGCCGGGCAAGTGGTCAGTGGTCAGCACTGCTCTCCCGCCTCTCGAGGCCGCCACGGTCTCCGCTCCTGGGCGCAGAGGCTGCACGGGGCATTATAGACAGTTCGTGCCCAGCCCCCTGCCCCCTCAGTGGGGAGGGGGAGGGGGAGGGAAAGCCACCAGCTTGGGGGGGGCGGGGGAGGGGTGGGGAAATGATGGCACCGACCAGACACCAAGAAACCGGACCTGCAGCAGCGTCTCCCCATGCAGCTCTGAGCCACAGCAGCGGCTGCGACAGAGATGGGGGAGCAGAGAAAGAGGGAGGGGGAGGCCCTTAAAGGGACAGCAGCTGCAGCACAGGGGGCTGCTGGGGACAAGGGCCAGGGGAGGGTTGGCTCTGCTCTTGGGAAGGGAGGTGGCCCAGGGCTCCCTGGCCAGCTGGGACGGGGCTCTGAGCCCCTAGATGGGCCTGATTCTGTTTCCCACCAGCACTTTGCAGATGCCTGCCATTTCCTCCTCTGCCAACCCTCCCAGCATGTGTTCCTCAGTGGCCTGCTGGAGTCCCAGCTTAGGGGCGCCCACCCCTGCAGAGACAGAGAGGATTCCCTGGAGGAGGGAGCGGAAGAAAGTGGTGTATCTTGCCGTCGCTGAAGGATGAGTTTAAGGAATGGATGGGAATAAAAACACCTCAACGCAGCATCCTTCAGACTCAGAGACCCCCAGGTCCTTCACGGCAGTAGGAGGGCGGGAAACTCTAGGTATACATGAGGTGCCTGTAGATCCTGACTCCGCTGCAAGACCGTCCCGTGATTCCGGCTAACTACTGTAGCAGCACTGAGGTAAGAGCACTTGTCCCCTTTTTACAGGTCAAGAAATGGTCCCAAGGCCGTCAGTGACCCTCCTCAAGGTCACATAGTTAAGAAGAGGCAGGAACCTTCTTGTACTAGGTGTCAGAGTGGCTGTAGGATTTGAAGAGGGTGGGGAAACACTGCCTCTCTGAAAACCCACCTCGAGCCCAAGGATGCCCCTGCCCCTGGCCTTCAGGCTGCCTGGCCCCTCCTGGCCTTCCCTAAGCACCGGTCATTCTCTTTTTCTCCAGGTTTTTATGCTCCTGGCTCCCCTTCCTATGCGACTTCACAGAACAGCCTGTTGGAGTGAGAAAGGACTTCGGGGATTGGCTGGTTCAAGCCCCTCATTCAATCACCAGGAAACCAGGCCCAGTGACTTGGCCAGGGTCACGCTGCAGGTCAGAGGCCCAGCCAGAACCAGACGAGCCTCCAAGCTGCTTCTAACCCTTTCATGCTGCCTCCCTGGAACTAGGCCTTCCCGTCCTGAACCCAGCTGTCCTGTGGACTTCTGCATGACGTGGGGCCTGCTACCCAAACCATACTTTGGTCTCCAGTCCTGCCCTAAGATACGCCTCAATTAGCAACCCTACAATTTGCCTTTGCCTATTCAAATCCCATTCCACCTCCCCAAGAGAGTCAAAGGGCTGGGAGTTGCAATTTTGTGCTGCCCTCTAGTGGCAGGCTGTGGAAACAGACCCTGAGAGGTCCTGGCCTTAGGTAGAAGGAGTTAGGGACGATTTTAGAGACAATAGTGGACCTAGCTTCCTGACCTCAGGGCTTCACTTAACGGGAAAAGGGACCCAAATTCCTGAGTATTTACTATGTCCTGGGCCTGGGGCGGTTTATGTTCATTCTTATTTAATCTTCCCAGACGGTAGTATCTTTGTTTTATAGACAAGAAACTGAGGCTTAGAGATTTAAAAAAACAAAAGACAAAAAACTTGCCAAAGATAACACAGCTCCATGGGAATTGGCAAGGCTGGATTTCAAACCCATGTTTGCATAGCTCCAAAGCCCAAGGCGAGCAAAGCTACAAGAAGATGCTGAGTTGGGGGCAGGATATTGATGGTAGGCCACCACGACTTCCTGATGGAGGACCACAAACCCGGTCACGGAGTTGTGGCTTCACTTTGGATGATGTGGATTAAAGCAGGCAGAGACAGATTTTTATCTTCCCGGAACTCGCCTAGACACCCCAGTAAATTCTGCCTTCTGCCCGCTCCCTCTCCTACCTGACGTTTGATGATAGCTCACAGGTGTATTAAATTTTGTCAAATAGGTCATAAATTTGCAGCACGAGGACCCAATCCAGCCCACACACATGGTTTTTTGGCCAGTATGGTGTAGCCAGTACAGTATTTTCTTAAATTCTAAGTTATTTGTCAGCTTGAAAATTAGGAGATTTCACATACAAGCTCAACCTCTTTAAAGAAAGAATTAGAAGATCAGACAACATTGGGCCCACGTTCTAACTCCATGATGTTTGGCTGGAGCTGAGCAGCTGCCACCCACATTGGATGGGATGAACGTGAGTCCTCCAGCTCACGCAGTCCGCACAGAGCCTACGTCCTTCAGGTTACTTGCAGGAGTTTACAACCCCTGCTTTATCGACGTGAATTCACCTGACCCTCACAACATCTCCATGAAGAATGGAAGGTGGGTATTCTTATTAAACTTGCTTACAAATAAGGGCTCCGAAGGTCAGAGAGGTTAAAGGACTTGCAAAGGATCCCATAGCCAGTGTCTTTTGACTCTTAATCCACCCCACCCCACACACACACACATACACCCTGCTTCTGCTCTCTCGACTAACTCTTCCTGAAAGTAGATCAGCTCCACCAGCCCTGGCCCCAGGGAGGATGCGCTCACTCTGTCCTCTTACTTGGATGCCACCAGAACAGCCTCTGGTCTCTCCATCCGCAGGTTGGAGTGGTTCTGCAGCCCCCAGCAGAGGAGGGTGAAGCACAGCGGGAAGAAGACGCAGCCCAGTACGAAGAGCAGGGTCATGCCTCTCTGGGGTAGAGAAGGTGAGGAAAGATGGCTATGAGAACACCTCAGCACAGTGTCCCTCAGACTCAGAGACCCCCTTCACTCCAATAACCCAATGGCCCATGGGACCCATCCATCTGTAACCATCAAAAGCCACTAGGCGCAGCTCTTCCCTAATCTCTTTGGGATCCTTATTGCACTTGAAATATCCCCCATCCAGGGCAATTGCACTGCCCCATTCCAACAATTTCATTCCCTTCTCCTGTCATCCTGAAGCTGGGCTATACCTCCCAGTCCATCTCACACCTTAAAATTCCTTCTTTCTCCTTCAACCCTAATGATGTGCCTGCTCTTTCTTAACTCCACCGTTTCCCATCCTCTGTTCCCCTACCCTAAGCTCTTCGTGTCACTTCTCCCTTCTCCTAGGTCCTCACCTCTGAGGGGCAAGGTGGAGGCTAGAGAGGGAAGCTGGTGATTCTCATCAGCACCCAGAACTCGGAAAAAGGAAGACGGGTGTTTAAATTGTAAAGATATTTGAAATGTAAAAATAATATTTCTTTAAAAAGAAAAGCCAAAGCGTTAGCCCATTAAAAAAGAAAACTAGAAAGAAACAGTAGAATCCCTGAAAACATATATATATACGTATGTTATTTTCGTCTGGAAAAGCCTCCCCTCCCGTCCACTCCAGGGAGGGGAGGGGTGGGGAAGGCCTAGGAGGGATGTAAGGAGTCTGGGTCTGCCATCCTGCATCCCTTAAGTGGCTTTGAGGGGACCTTCTCAGGATGTAAGGAAGGTGTCAAACTGCAAGGGCACGAGGCCGAGGTAGCTCCCCTGAGGCAGTTGGAGAGAGTGAGAACATCACCCTCCCATTGGCAGACTGGTGGAGGGTTTGGAATATGCCATCCTCCCATTGGCCCACATCTTGACACATGTGCCCTATCATATGCTTCCTGACGGGGGGGAGCCTGCTCTGTGAGGGGCGGGGCGGGGGGCGGGTAGGGCCTTCTAATGCAGAATTGACCAATTAGAATTCGTTGATGGCTTGATGGATAGCTACGTTTCAGGGGCGGAGCTGAAAGAGGGGAAAGGAAGAGGAGGGAGGACGGAAATAAGAACAGCCTAAGTAGTTGTTGCTTTGAAAGGCAGTATAGGATAATAGTTTAAGACGGCAGTTTTTAGGGTGGGACCATCTGGGCGTCAAATTCAGACTCCATGAATACTAAAAGAAAGTGTAGGGCTCCATTTGGATGAAGTTCAAAACAGGCAAAATATCTTTGGTGAAAAACTCAGAACAGCGTTTAACTTTGGGGGGAGGTATTGAGTGAGAGAAGACCTCAGGGAGTCTTCTGAGGTGTTGGGAATGCCCTTACATTGATCATGGGTGTACACATATGTGAACGTTGTCAAGACATACTCTTAAAATTTGCATACTTTATTTAAATTAAGCTGGAATTTTTAAAATGCTAAACAAATTTAGCATTCCCTGAATGATGGTGAGCCAATCTCTCTGGACCTCGATTCTTCATCTGTGAAGTTGGGATAATAATAACGCCAGCTCAGTAGATGCTACTTATATAGCATTTACTGTGGGCCAGACACTGATCTGAGAGCTTAAAAATATCAAGTCATTTCCTCAAAACTTCATGCGTAGGGATTATTATTGTACCCATTTTACCGATGAGAAAACAGAGGCACAGAAAGGTTTGGTACCTTGTCCAAGGTTACACAGAAAGCAAATGAGGTAGGATTTTTTTCATTCATATTTTCTGAATGTATTGGTCTCTGTAATGTCAAGCAGATGTAGAAAACTCATAAACTTATTTTCCTAAAGGAACTGAAAGTTTAAAAATAAAAATAAACAAAACATCATTGAATAAAATTTACACATCTCAGCTACATTTTCAGAGCTTATCTCTGTTAACATTTCTTGCTTCTGTAGCTCCTCCATTTTTTCCCTTCCAGATAGGCCTCTGAAAAGTAAATTAAAGGTTAAACGAAG